AGTGAGTAAATGACTTTTTTTCAAGGCTGCCACTGGGAAACGCACTTATCTGTGTCCTCAGCCCTGTTGCTGTGGGAGTCTTCCTTTTTGTTCAGAACACACCGACCGGGTGAGAAGTCTCTCGCCAGATAAACAATCTCGGCCGATCTCGGCACATCATTTTGAGTTACGCAGGTGTTGAGTGTAAATGACCAGCGGCTTGCAGATAGTGAACAGCCTATTACACTAAATCGATTTCACACATAAAGGTCAGTTTACTTGTCATGGTGACTCTTGCTCGGCCCAGGAAGGCGGCTGTATCGTGTGTTCTGTGGCTCTGGAGGACTTTTGTCAAGACTTATAAAACAGCCGGCAGTGATGTGGAGTTTGACGTCAGCGTGCTAAAAACTGGAAGTAGTAGGTTTGAAAGATGTTGGTCTTTACCAGGCACTGCATTGGGCACTAGAGGACAGGTAGGATATGATGTTGTTCGCTCTTGAGCCAAACTATTTACTTAAAGTTGGGACATCTTGGCCTCTTCTGTCTCCGACTTCTTTCCTTGCGGTTTACTGATTTTTTAACTTAGCTTTTTGGGCCATTAATGACCATAAACCTTCGCCTCAGGATGAAATCAGTTGGTTTCAACTTTGATAAAAAATGCTCTTAAGGCAGATTTATCCGTCTTTTTAAAGTAATTTTTGGTCACAAACCTGTCTGAGCTGGACACAGTGTTATTGTAGGAAGTACATCGAAGTTAGGTGAAGATTTATTAATTAGCAGGAATGTAGCACAGCTTCGAAGTGAAAGAAAGGCTCTGTTTAGTTCAACGAGAAAGTACATTAAAGAGATTTTGTCTCTGAAATCAATCAATTATTGTGATGAGGAGGCCAGTCATGATCTTAATCTTGATCAAAATAATCAGAATACCAGTTTGGACAAGCTACAAAGTTGGTTGTATGGAAGCATTTCAGCTACAGAAAAGGTTTTGTTGACCAAAAACTGGTCGTCTTTTGACAGTATTTTGCAACAACGCGGTTAATTTGTTTGACCATTTGACTCCTATTACCTTCACATTTACCAACATCTTTTGTCCTTGGGTTCAATTTGACCCCAGAAAATAATCATAATTAAAACTGTTGCCCAAGTTTATGTGTAAGTAGCTCTTCAAATAAAATGAAAAAGTGACTTATTTAGAGATGCTAAACACTGAATGGGATCAAATTGACCCCAAAGATAATCGAAGGGTTAAATCGGCAGCACAAAGTTGAGAATGATGAGTGCGAATGGGAAATGTGAAGGCCATCCAAAGTAACAAAATACAAAAGAATGATTTAAGATGCTTTACCAGTGTTAGAACCATAAAAGAAAGGTTCCAAATGGTTTACACTAAAAAAAAAGTCTCCAATTTTCAGCTATTTAAAAATATTTGGTCGTTTCTGGTGGTTAGAGTTTTTCAAGTCTTCTATCAAACGCTGACCTGTAACACCTGCTCTTACCAGGGTGTAAGACTAAGACTTTTAAGAGGAAATGTACATTAAGATATGATGAAGTGTCTGTCAGGTATATTATTATTATTACTGTATCCATGTTGTTGTCAGTAACTAAACTGTTAGCATTAGACTTCTACATGCTCAAGATTGTTCAATAGCACCGTCTTAATTTCTTAAGAAAATAAGATGCAGCCCAGTATTAATTCCCAAACGTTTTAGTTTAATTTATTCAAATAAAACTTTTAAATATCAACAAATTATTCACAATTGTTCTGCAGAGTCACTCGGGAGGAATGAAGAACTGGCCTTTCTCTGTGCTGTGACCCAGCTCGTGGGCCGCAACATCAACCACAGTTTACTAAAGTCAGAGTTTTATTTAAATGAATTAATACCTGAAGTAACGATCTAGTACAAAAAGTACAAAATAATGATTTACTTTTTTTTTTTTTTTCATCCACTTCTTCTCAGCTGTGGACAATCAAGAGGATAAAACCTGTTAGCTCTTGTTTAATATGCATTTTTTTTTTTTAATTTCTATTTGCTGAGAATAAAAAATGGAAAATATAAAGAAAATAAAAATATATTTAAAAAATATATAAAAATATGAAACATAAAAAAATAATCATAATGTAAAAAATGCTAAAAATAAAAACAAATAATGATTTAAAAAAAAATAAAAAATGGTAATATAACCCAAAATGTGATGTCCATGCATGTGGACGTCAGGTCTGAGGAGGTTCAGAAAACACAATAATTACTGCATTAATGAATTTTTGGTCAAATAAAATAATAATAAAAAAAGAATTCGGCTTTATATTTGTGTAGCAGAACAGCAGTTTACTGTGTGAGGCATGTCAGGGCAGCACACAATAAGATCCAACACCCTTTTGCACAGTTGTAAATATAGTAGGAGACCATTTGAGAAGACGAGTAACCCAAAAATTCAAATGCAGCATCTGCATCAGGCATCAGGTGTTTATAAAATGACCATTTACAGCCCAACTGGAGACAACAAAACCTCTCCTACATTAAAAAAAAAACCTGATAAGGGTCACAGACTGTCAGTTGTGGAGATAATCACACATCTAAAGAGGAGATTCCATCATTTACTGTGGCCTCCTGACCTTTTTCTTCCTCCGAAACCTTTCTATAGAGGAATGAAGCAATCAAAAGGTAAAGTGATGGAGCTCTAACATCATTGGAATTATGTTCCAAAACTCTGGATTCAATAATCCAAGTCATCAGGACCAGTATAGGAGGAGAACACCTCACCTCTAAGGAGTTTGTGGAGGACACACAAACACCTGCTACTCTCTGACACTTTGAAGGCTTGTTGTTGGATGTATGTGATCGTCTTCTCAGTTATAGTAGAAGTTTACCGTCAAGGAACTTGAAATTCCAAAATCTACCCACATGTTTATACCTGTTATCATCTCAGGAACCATATGAGATAAACTTAGTATGACTGATATGCTGATGTGTGGATAATCACCCCTTTGTAATAGATTTTTAACAATCAAATTTGTATGTTTTACCCTTTCAACACTGTAGCCTCTATACCGCTCTGCTGCTTTCACCCTGCGGCCCGATATAGCGGCTCTGGTATACGGCGACTCTCTGTTACATTCATTTTGATTGTCTATCAGTGGGAATCCCTGCATGTGAACACGCGATTCAGTATGAAATATTAGCTCAAGACCACCCCTTGAAACAAACACATCCATGATTGGTTAGATGATGATTTAGATTTGACTCTAAAACTTCATGCATGAGAGAGAGTAACTGGACTGCAACTCAGGCTTCTTTTTTGGATAACTGTAAAGATTTGCTTTCCTAAACGGGGTCTTTATTTTGCTAACCTTTGGGTGTTTACTTCGATGAGGGCTCCTCTTTTTGTCACTGGGCTTTTCTTTGTTCCATCTTAACTTTGTCACTGCGACCGTTTGCAACTCTGAGCTCGGACTCTTAGTATTTTTTTTTTACTTTGGCACTTTTTCAACGCAATTATGCAAAAGCGCCGCCCCGTACCCGCTCACCGAACCAACTCATCCAGCAGATCTTCGCAGCGACGCATCCTGCTGCAGTCCTCTCCTCATCCCTGCAGTCTTTAAGAGTCTTTAGGGGAGCTCCAGCTAAAGCCACAGCAAAACCTCCAACATGCTCCCTTACACTGATAGAAACATGTGCAGGCTGATTCTTTATTGTATTTTTATTTTCAGTGGCAAGAACACAAAATACTTGAACTGCAACAACTCAGTGAGCAGAGTAAGGCGACCTCTGACCTCAACGAGAACCATCTAGAACACTTCTTATGTGTAGAAACAAGACTTGATTTGTATGAAGTGATCAACCCAGTAAGGTCTGTGTGTTTGACAGTTAATACAGAACACGATAATTATAATTATGAGCCCAATTCTCACCGTGTAATGGATAAAAAACCCACGATGGAGCATCACCACTACCATCAAAAGTCTGACCGTCACACAAGAGAGGCAGCACGGATTTTGTAAAAACATCGACGCAACAGTTTAAAGTGGACTCGCTGTAAAATGTACCAAGTTTGGCTTTTAAATACCAAAACCGGACTTTTATCTCTGACCCATGTGGCACAAACTCTGCTCCATTTAAACACAACTAAATCACAGCACCAGTGTCATAATTTAAAACCTTTTGTCTTCTAATACGCAGCCTCCCCGATTCGCTAATTGCATCGTTTGAAATTGTAATTTTACTTCCTGGTAGCAAAACTTTATTGATACGTACAGACAAGCTGAGCTGAGTGAGTGTCTGATTGTTTTGTATTTTATTTTGATTTTTTTTCCAGCTTGGCACTTTGCATGACTCAGAAAGTTTTGTGTGCAAATGATAGCGCTTCACAACGACACACACACACACACACACACACACACGGAGAGAGAGAGAGGGAGAGGGAGAGCGAGAGAGGGAGGCTTGTACTGCAGTCAGCATCCTTGATCGCCTCCAGTAACACATGTCAGAGAACTTCAATTCATCAAGC